AGGACCCCAGTCCATAAACAACCTGGTCCAGCTTGACCACACTGGCTGTCGCACACACTCACACCGGCAGATGTGTGCACAAGAGGGGTGTTGCCGGCCGTACCAGACCACGAGGCTGGAAATGCTTGTGTCCACAGTCCCAATGGGACGGAGGTCTGACGGGCAGGTGCTTCTGTCCCTGAGGCACTAATGTCTCCTGGATCCTGCCAGACCGGCCCACATGTGCATGATCGCAATTCTGCCGGCCGGTCCGGCGGGACAGACATGGGCGGCAGGGCATGTCAGAAGGAGACACAAGCAGAAGGGTCCGGAGAGACAGGCTTTCGCCGAGTGAACATCTTCAGCCAAGGCTTCTGAACGCAGCAACGCACCTGGTACAGCCAGCCTCCAACACTAGCCAAATTGTGCCCTATTAGGATCTGATGGCAACCTCGGACAACCGCAGACAACCGCCGTGGTGGAGTCAAGGCGCCACTCAGAGAGAATCTTCAGCTTATTCCGCTTTAAGTGTACCCAGACTTGTAGGCAGTCAGACAGACGCACAGAGGCATTGGCCCACCGACAGATGGGCAGGCTTGTGCAGGCTTACGCACAATTACTCTTAGTTAAAAGAGGGAAAAGAGGACAAACAGGGTAGATTTGCAGACTGGGGGATCCGTCAACTAAAAGTCTGTCGCTATTTACATACACTCGCTTGCCTGCTGTCCGTCTCGCTTAACAGAATGGCCAATTGGTTGATTGGACAAGTGAACCAGGACACGCTTGATTGACCGACAGTGTGATTGACTGATTAAGTGACCAGTGAATGAAAGAGAATGGAAAGACGGTTGGGATGAATGGGCGAAAGGACAAGAAAATGGATGAATGTGGGAAATGATGATAGATATTAATAGGCTGCTTTAGGCAGATAGCGCAAGATTATCATGCAATTGTACAATTAGGGATCACGAGCTAAGGCATGTGATTAAGTTTTACTTTTTGCATTTAAGTATTGTTTCGAGACTACCAGTAAATCAGTAATATGAGATGTATTCATCCAATTTCGTTTAA